GCTTAAATCAAGAACCAAGCCTCTTAATTTGAGCGGATTTCCTTTTGATTTAAGCTTAAATCTGATTGAATCAAGAGTCCTTTTTCTTGTCAATGTTTTCAAGAGTCTGGACTCCAAATCCAATGTGTTTTTATTCCAGTGTATCAAAAGAATTATAATTCGCAAATTTATTGAGAATTTAACGATCTTTCATTTTGGTTAAAATACTGATTGTCAAATCAAAAGACTGATGAGGAACGATATATTTCAGATTTTTTTTACAAAGATCGCAATTTTTTAAGGTTTTATTTTTTTACTTGGTGGCTGACTTTCAAGAAAAACGTGCTCTTATAGGTCAAATTTGATGCATACGCTTAATAATATAGAAAAAGCTACTTCAAAAGCTTCAGTCAATGATTTTGCAAGTGAGACCCCATTTTCGACCTTCGGCACCTGAAATATAAGGATGGTCATATCATATTATGTCACCTTGTCATATGTCAATTTAATCAATTATGTCAATCACCTTGTATAACCCGTTATCACCGCGGAAATAATCAAAGAGGTAATGAGTGGGCAGTGCTAGGGTTAAAAAATCACGTTTATTCAGAAAAAGCAAGACCTGTAACAAGTTGTGTCTGATGCCTCAAATTAAAGGCGAATATAATCGAGAGTGGAAAAAATGCAGACTCCGACAATCAACAAATATTTTCCCCTGCTCTGTGTGATTCAAACTTGTGCTAAGAGCTTTACTGCTTCAGCTGTAACAACGGAACAATACAGCCTCAAAACATATTATGAGATTAAAAGGATCTGCAAAGAGCTCAATATCGTCCCAGATGTGATCGCTCAAGCTCCTAAGCATTTAATAGAGGTAAGGTGATTTTGTCCAGTTTTTCGTTAGTTTTTAAGTATATTTTAGTTAATGTCTTCGTTCCCCTAGCTACCGTCAATTTCAATGCACTGCTCACACAAACGCGCAAATTGATTATTTTACTGAGCAATTAGTATCTCAATTTGTTGAGATTAATAAATTTTTTTTGAAATAGCATCTCTATAGATAATAGATGTAGAACAATCGAAACAATTGAAAGTGGTAAACGAACCTTTACAGAGCGGGATCACTTGCGTACTCTCTTACCGTTTGTACCTAATACATTTTCAAAAAAAAAGAGAAAAAGAAAAAAAATTAAATTTTTTCAAATAATGGTGTTATTCCGCACACTTGAAGCTCTTCAGTTTTAACTGAGATGACACTGATTCCGGAGACTAGCAAAAAATGAATACATGATATTTTTCATACGAATTGACAAAGTTAAGTTTAACCTTAAAAAAGTACAATTTAGTGGTACCTCTTGCTTTTCAGATTGCCTATAATAAGGTTGATTATGTAGATTTTGGTAACTATTTAACAGTAGATCAAATAAAAAGAGAACCAACGCTGGTAAGATGGCCACGTTCGCCTGAGCTGCTGTATACACTCATGCTGATAAGTGAGTTCTTTTTGTGTAAATATGAATGCATTTCAATACACTTAATAATTCACCCTTACATGCACATGATAATTACATGGATGTTATACACTCTAAATTCCCAATCTGGCTCATCTGGTCACTGCCAGTATTAAATTGAGTCAAATTAAGTCTTACGAAACTTGAAGGAATACCCCTGTTGATACTGCGAGGTCAGAAAGTGACCCAAGTTCATATGTAATATTTCATAGATTGCCGTAAAGAGATTATATTGACTAGCTGTGCAAAATAATATTGAACGTATTTAAACAAATTTTCTGCATCTTTGGCAAATTGAGAAGGTATAATAGAGCAGTCAGAAAGTGTCTAAAACAAATTCCAAAAATGTATTGCTCCTCAAGAAACTCCTCTTTTTAAAAATGGAAGGTTTATGAATAGCGTTCAGCAAGAGCAAGTTCTGACAAATTTTTCTATAAACTTGCATTATTCTTTTCATGCTTAGTTTCAATTATTTCTGTCAACCATATAACAGGCCACTAAGAACTTCTGCATGATGTGCACCTCTACCAAAACGACAGCTTTTTTTGTTTGTTTGTTTTTTACTTTATTTGATATTTTAGGTCCAGATTATCCTACGCGCGAAAACCCTATTTATAAAGAGTGGCAATATTGGCTTGTTACAAACAGTCTAGGTGGCGACTTAGAACTAGCAGAAACGATGACTGAATACTCTCCGCCGACTGAAATTCCGGGAAATGGTAGAAAATTTCAATTCTTTCACCTGCAGTCACGTAGTGACGTATATTCAAATTTGAGCTCAAAACGTCTGATTACGTAAAACGACACTAAAAAAATATAATGGTGCAGTGGCAACCTCATAATCGGGTTTCTTGGGCGTCGTGTATATAGTTGGATAATTTTTCTCCACGGTTCGGATTTGTAATCAGGGGTAGATGTTGAGGTTGATACCTAGATTGTAAAAATTAAACAGACATACAATATACAACATTTTTGAAGGATCCTCACAAATAAAATCAAGCTAACGAAGCCAAAAGAGAGAAAGAAACGCTTATATTAATCCGTTATATAAAATGAAAAATATTTTTAAAAAGCTCTGAAGTGGCATTTCAAGCGTGATAGTTGGGCTCGCTTTTTTATTTATTTTTTCCATGTAGAATACCAAAAAAGTTTTATTTTTATATCAGAAATTATTTTTTCAAGGAACCAATTTTGAAAGGAGACGATCGTGTAAAGTATATTGTTGTGCAAGAATCTAGTATTTTTAAAACAGAGAAGAAGTTTCAAGATTTAGGAAGTATTGTAATCAAGCTGGTTCGCGCCCGTTAAACTCACTCCACTTAACTGAAACGTCCTCCGAAAATTGAATACCAACCGCACGCATCAGCTTGAATGTGGTTGCAGCACGAAATGAAAAAAATTCCACGTCATAATCTAGCGCTATGTTTCTTCTCCCGAGACGACCGTCTCTGTCCATTGTAAGAATCGTCTCTTTGCTATTGAGCTTTTTCGTCTAATTAAAGGAGTCCCTTTGATTGAGATGAGCTTATAATCTGTTTTTGACGGCTTGTAGAAATTGAGTTTTGATATCATCAATATATGCCAGGAGATGCCATCTTTATATTATACAGCTACAAGCAAAATCTTGGAAGCACTATTACTGACGAACTGCCGGACCGATAAGGATGGTCTTTACATGTATGTCGTCTGTAGTAGATGTAGATGTGCAAACAAATTATGAAACCCCGAACTTTTAAAGCTCATGTCACTTAAGTCCAATGTTAATAGCGTGAGAGGTATGTCGTTTCCGCTAGGAGCGTCAAGGTGTGAGATTCTACCTGAGTGACTCGAATGTATAAAAATGGAAGAACATTTTTGCCTATACATATGCGTCTAGGGCCCGCGAAGCGGGCCTGAGGGCGCGAGGCGCCCGCCCGGGGGTTGAGCCGCGTAGCGGTCAGGGGGCAGGGTCCCCTAGTAAAAAGATAATAAGTACGACAAAAATGAAGTCATCAACGTAACTTGCTTTATTCTTAAATTGGCACCGTCAATATGAAGGTTTGTTTGTGTTTTTTTTAGAACCTTGTCGCATGATCTTTTTAGCGTTCACGCAGCGAACAGAGCATATTGTAAATTTCACTGAGCCCCGTCACTCGAAAGAGTGAGTATTATTTTTCTCTTTTCCTATCAGCCATTTTATATTCTCCCAGAAGATAAGCGCACGCCATTCGCCGTAGGTATGATAAAGTTGGTATTATAAAATCAAGCCGCTGAAATGAGCGCATACCTCATTCTTGTTGAAACCTCATTCTTGTTGAAATATCAGGATTTAATTAGAGTTTTAGCCAAAACCAACGTCTCTGTCTTGTTTTCTCTTTAAATGAATTACAGAATAAGACACATGCTTTTTTAAATCATCGAGATGAAAACGTACAATATTTAGACGACTGAAATTTTAGAATTCTCCTTGAGTTATCTTACTTTTTCAACAATTTATAAATTATACCAAACTACTTTTCAGGGTGATTTGTGAGGAACGGGCGAACTTTAAAGCTGCAAATTTTGCGTACAAATATAACTTTCCCGAATTGACAGCAATAAATTATTTTTTGATAAAACCTACGAATAGCACGTAAGTAAAAGAGAAGAGAGGATGCCAACTATTATTATAATCTTAAATTCGTTTCAAACATGTATTTTTCAAGAGAAATATGATAATCGGAGCTCTTTCCCCCGAAATTTTCGTTGCGCTAAGCAAACAATTTTCAAAAAAATAGACCCCACAAATCTAAAATTAAACACCTTAGCATTCAAAATTATTTAAGAAGAGTCTTCGATTCATGAAGAGCTTTTGAATTTTCTACAGTCCCTGTTTACCGTATGGATAGCCAAATATGAATAGAAGGGTGGACGAACAATTACGTAAGTTTGACTACAACCAAATGAAGCAACGACGTATTTATTAACTGGTTTCAGAATGTCTTTAACCGCGAATATTTGGGTCAAAATTTAATTTTATAATGTCTCTATACTGTGGCACTCCACTGTAAACTGAGTAAGTAGTGTAATCGTAAATGTAATCTTTCAATTTAAAAATGTTGAAAAAAAGTAAAAGCGTTTGAAAACTTATAGCAAAAGGGAATTGAGGATAAAAACGGCTCATACTAAAGCAGTCAAAGTATCAAATGACGTAATGCGCTAAAAATTGTCAATAGAGTATCCCATGCTGATGGATTTTTTTGGCTTGCACATGCACTAAGACAACCAAAGAGTAGAAAAACAGAAGAGGTAGTCCCTTGTGCTGACACTTTAAAGTGAACTTTTAGCACTGCAAACTCGTATAAAACATGACCGACTGGTTGGAACTTTATCCTAAAGGTCTGTTACAGTAATTATTAAGGCATGCGATTCCCACCATTCCATGTAACTTCAGCTGCCGACTCGAAAAATGACCTTGCTTTCTTTCTATCATGGATAACTATCTCAAAAAATTGAATAATCTCTAAAAAAAACTCATTTTTTTTTTTTTTAAAGGAAATCTACATTTTACTGAGAGACATTTGGTCGTAAAAAACCAAGGACATTTTGTTAATCAGATCTAAATATTACATATATTTCAACTATCAGGTCTATTATGAAGATCTTAGTGTTTTAAATTGTTTTTCTTTTTTGCAGACCTGCGATATTTCTCTGATAATCAACGAAACCAATTTCCAGTCAACGCAAGAAACAGCAAAAGACAACATGCAAGAAATATGTTCTTTCTGCGGAAGCCTGTTCACTGATGAAGCTGCTTTTCTGAATCACATGGAATTTTTCCAAAAGAGTGGGCCCGGTGGCTTTGGTGCCGATTTTGTCATGACATCTGCCCTCAGGCCACCTTAAAAAAATACTTTGAATCTGCACACCAAGACCAGCCCTCTTGCTCGTTGAGCAGTTCTGTTGGATTGTTGCAACACCAGTCAGAGGAAATACTAAGTTAAAGGGCATCAAAGACATCATGCTGTCATAGTGTGCGCAAGCATCGATTTTTGTGTATAATTTGCGGTGATAAATTTTCGTCTCAAAAAAGTTAGGATGATCACAATTCGCACACATTTATGAGAGGAAATATTCAATTGGACGTATTTCTATCAAACGGAACTATGTGCATTAAGACATGAGCCCTAAGACCCATAAGAATACATGCATGACAGGACTCACGTCATAATGGACATAGTTCCGTTTGGTAGAAATACTACCAATTGCGGCAGATGCCACTGAAAACGAGAGCGGGGACAAAAAGTACAGATTGGCATTTGTTCGCGAAGTTTTTATTTTGAGCATGCTTTTCATTTACATTAGGAGAAAAATCACATCTTCCGTAGAAAAGATAGTACATAGTACGCCAGGTGCTGAAAAGTCTGAGATGGTTATGTGTGAGATATGTAATACGAGTGATCGCCGTTAGACTAGGTGATAAATCATGCATATTTTTTTTCGACTATTCTAGTCCTGTAGATTTGTTCTCTTCAATCTTAAAAGTTCAGTTTGGTCATCAAAATTTTGGAAAATAATTTTTGAATTTCTCAGACATAATGAATGTCACGCGTTATTTTAAAATTGAGAAGTTTCGGACCCTCTTTTCCTTGTCATCTATTTTTGGGAGTTTATTTTTTTATGAGAGTATTTATTGTAAATTTTTATATTCATTTTTTCCTTTTATTTTGCACTTATCACGTTCAGCAATATCGTATACTCCTTTTTTTTCTCTTCCTAGAAAATGACAGAGTTTATGAACGGTTCCTGTCCTAATATGCGTCCCTAGAAAATATTCTCTCTCATAACAGGTTGAGCCCTACACTAGGGATGAAGTTACCGTTAACATTTCAATCAATTTGTATCAAACAGTTTTTTGTAATTTTATTGTCTCTGAAAAGTGAGAGTATGTTTATCCGACTGATTAAATGCAGTGATAGGTAAGGGTTGCTTTTGAAGCGGAAAATGTTTAGGACTTTGGAGCACTTGGACGCTCACTAATTTTCATTATTATTTCATCCGTGTTTGTTCATTAAGTAAGTAATATTGTTTTGAAAGTATGTGGAATACGTTTAATGCCCCATAGTTACTAAAAATCTTTCTTATTCTCTGGATTCATGGATTGTAGGGATTTATAACATGGTTTACACGGTCTGGAAACAACCGAAAAGTAAATCGATGAATTCTCACGAAGAACGTCGTATTAATAACAGAGCCGGATTTACCTGCTTGCCGCCCATGAGCCGTCTGTATTTTGCCGCCCCCTTCTCATTCGTTTTAAAACATTAATGAAAACCACCAAGTGAACATGTCGGAGGAGGAGGAGAGGGGTGCATAAGACGCGTTAAATCGTGACGGGCACATTTTTTGTGAAAGCCATGTCAACACTACTAGAAAAGTTCACGGAACTTTGCGCGAAAGTTAAGTCTCGTAAACCTATCGCTGTATGGACAACGCCTTCCATTTATAAGAAATGAACGAAAAAATTATGAAAGAACAAACATAAATGTGGTTTAATAATCTTAACCTCCGCCGCTGCGCCGCGCTGACCTCAATATGTTTTGCGCAATGCGTGAAGTATTCCTACAGTCTCGTAGGCGCTATGCGTCTCATGCCGACCGCTGCGGACCGCACGGTAATTGACGCAATGCGTGAAGTATTCATGCAGTTTTGTAGGCGCTAATATGTGTTACGTGACGACCGCCGCGTCGAAAGCTTCTCCTTTTCATGTGAATAAGTCTTCGTTATCATTGCTCTCTGCGGCGCGCCGTTCCAGGCCTAATTGCGTGGTTGGTTTCTCTCTTAACTCGACTAATTAAAGGTGCTGTTTCTTGTATCACCGAAGGACGACAAAATTAGAAATTACCATACCTTTACTCTCAGGAAATGAGATACTTTATTGCCTGTTCTAGTTCGTAATTTTTTTTCTGAATCAGATTTTTTTTGATACCTACATCTGAAAAAATTTCAAAATTTGCCGCCCCCTTTTGCCGCCATGGGCCGCGACCCATGTGGCCACCCCCTAAATCCGGTCCTGATTATTAACAGGCAAGTTCTATTCCTCTAGTTTAATACCTTCAAGAAGAGCGGGATTAGGTTTCCCTATTTTTCCTGTAAAATTGACGTTGGACAAAAAAACATTGAAAAAAAAGTAAACGCGTTTGAAAACTTATTACAAAAGCGTGTTGAGGATAAAAACGGCGCGTACTAAAGTAGTAAAACTACCGAATGACATTACGCTAAAAATTGTTAACAGCAGAGTATACTGGTGGATGTTTTTGACTTGCACGTACACTTGCTCTAATTGATGTGTATCTAATCATAAGCAATCAAATGATGATTGTAAATCTGATGTTTAGTCATTCAGTCACATAAAATCTGGTAACTCCCCATCATCATTCCCCTTCCACCGACATGTTGCCCAGTTTATGCATTGCAATATGCCAGAACGGGAAAATTTTTTTATAAATCTCGACTTCATTTTAAGGGCTCTCGAAATTGAATGTACAGACAGATGTTCCTTACGTGCTCTGGTAAGTTTGCAGCACAAATAATCATTTTCCTACAGTGTTTCCTGTATCACTCATTGAGCTCATTTGCTATAACCTACAAAGACATCAAAGCTGAACTAGGAAGAGCGAATGTGGTTCCTGACGTAATTGACAAAGCGCCAAAAAACGACATCGAGGTAATCGAACATTGTTGATATTCATAGACTAAGGCTTGTTACTTGTGCCACAATAAACCAACTTTAAATCTTTATTTATCAAGACGAATACATATCGTATTTTGTGAGTTTTTTCGAGAGTGATTTTGTTAAGTATTGAGGTGCTTTGCCCCAGGATTTCTCACAAATACGTTGTTACAATTCTTTTCGATTTGGTGGCTCCAGTTAGTCTTGGAGTTGCATGGTCTTTGTTCAGGAGGCAATCATTTTTCCCGCACATTTGCAGATTCTAATTTAGATCGAATTAATCGGAGGGGAACTAACACAAGTACATACTAGTAAAAATCTTGCGACTTAATCTTTATCTCAAAAATACCCACAAGCTCAAATTCTTTCGGATTTTTCGACCAAGGGTTGTCAGTTTTAAAGGAAAATCTTACCAATAAAGATGCATTAAATTTTTTTAAAAGCACAAAAAAGCGTTGCACAGTTTGTAAATAATTGAAATCGTGTCGCATCCCTTTTGCCATGTGCGATCCAATTATTCCTCAGAAAGCTGTAAATTCGTATTATAACGAGATGATACTATAATGCGTCAAACTAGTTGCAATGAAAAAAATGTTAAAAATTAATATTTTTGACATTTTTTGAGGTATAAATAATTTGTCAATTGGTGGTGGCATTTTTGTTAGTAGAGGAATAATGTAACCTTATCATATAATTAAAAAATCCAAGTATTTTTGAATTCAAAAAAATACTAACTTAAAAACCCCAGTTATTCAAAGGAAAAAAATGTTCTTAAAATCAAAAATAATATCGTTTTAATTTTAGAAAATATTCTCTTTTGGTCAGTTATTACATAGGCACTTTATTGATAAGTATAATCAATGATAAAAATCTTACGACCGTATGTGTATAAATAAAGAACAAAATTAACGAGGGTTTGTAAAGCTTCATAAATTGGCCATCATTTTTGAGATATTCACTGATTTCCTTCCGCATGACTTCTATTTATTTTAATGGCGATTAATTATATCGCAAAATTGGAGTAAAATTAATGCTGTCCATTTCCCCCGACGATTTTACGTTCTGATTTTTTCAGATACGCATCAATGGAACGTCAATTGATCTTGGTACTAGACTCGATTTAAACTCTCTCATAAAGCCTCCAGAAGTCTTAGAATGGGAAGTTCAGAGACATGGAATGTACACACTCATAGTCACAGGTAACTTTACAGTGCAACGTTAGAACAATTGTGACGAAATTAAATTATTTCCCTCTAGAATTCTTTTGAGTTGTTGGTAAAGAAATCTGCAACCGATTGAAATATGAAGAGGAACCTTCTCTCTCGAAGTTCTGATCAGTATTTGATGCTGATTTCCATTATTGCATGTGCTTCTGCATAAAATGCTGCTGAGGTAATGAAGTATAAAACAATACAAAAATGTAGTAGTAGTAAAATAATTTTATTTTAAAGCGGTGCTTTAGCATCAAGGCATTTAGAAAGAGAGGAAAACGAGGAAATTGAGTAGGATGAAGAATAAGTGCCTACGTTAGACAAGTCGTAACTGTGGCTTATTTTTCAGGACCAGATGTACCCTCATGGGACGAACCATTTGAACGTGAATACATGCATTGGCAGATCGTAAATATCCCTGGAAAAAATTATACCCAAGGTGAAACACTCGTCACATACGTAGGGTCGCAGTTTTGTTGCAATCCAGGTACGTTATCCTGTTTAACTAAATAAGAATTGGATCCGCAATTCTGGAATTTGGGATGCAGGAATATGGAAATTGGGCATGCTACTGAATGTATGTAATGTATTTATGCTTGTACGGTAAAAACTTATAAATTAGCCGAACTCCCACATGACGTCACGTCCCAAATAGATCTTTTATTTAGGTATAACGCGTTACATGACGTCATCCACTGCATGCCAAAAGAATGTGTCCCATTGGGGGCCTTTTCTTGTCCCAACTTTTGCCGCAAATTAAAATAGCTTTAATTATGGTCATGTATGCCCATGTCAACTTTTCAGCATGTTCCCTAGCTGTGAGGGTGCGTCCTGCGTCCTGCGTCTTCGATTGATATGTTTTGTTCGAAAAGTTTTTATTTCGAGATTGCTTCTCATTTACATAAGGAAAAAATCACTTCTTCCGTAGAAAAGGTAGTAGCACGTTACATGCTCAAAAGTCTCAATCGAGTTTCGGGTATGTGTGAGATATGTAATGCGAGTAATCGCCGTTATAGGTTAGGTACAAATCATGCATACTTTTTCCAACTATTCTAGCCTTGTGGATTTGTTCTCTTCAATTATTTTGAATGTGCAGCTAAGTAATTTTGGTCGTTAAGAATTTGAGACTGTAAATAATGCAAGTCGTGCTAAAATTCAAAGGTTTCAAGTCCCTCCATTTTTGTCTCATATCTATTATATATGAAAAATAAGAGCACTTTCATCCGACTGATTCAATTCAGTGCGATTGGTAAAGTTTGTTTGAAAAACGAAAAATTTTATATTCTTTGGACCACTTGAAAGGTTCCATTAGATGGTTTTTATAATGATATTATCAATGTTTAATCATTGAGTAAACAATATTGTTATGAAAGTATGTGCCATACATTGAAATGCCTGCCACATAGTTATTGAAGATATTTTCTAATTTTCTGGATTGGCGTATTTTAGGGACTCATAGAATGGTTTACACGGTCTGGAAGCAACCACAAAGTAAACCAATGAATTTTTCAGAAGAACGTCATATTGACGAAAGGCAAGTTCTATTCCTCTCGTTTAATACCTTCAGGAAGAGCGGTAAAAAGTTTCCCTATTTTTTTTTTGCAAAAATGGTGCAATTTTACATACCTACATTCAGGCGCTTTCACAGCGTGGCCTCGCGCTCTGCGACGCCTAATCGCCATTGCCCCCCATCCTCCCAGAGAGCAACAGGCAATTGGCACCTTCTGATCTCCTCCTACACCCCTTGTCGCCAACCTTTCAAAGGAGGTCCACGCCGTCGCCTCCCGGGAGGAACCCAATCGAAAACCTGCTTACTTTAAATTTTAAATGCCATTTTAAATCGGATAAAAAAGATTAGTTGGCTATACTTCTATGGAGCATCAGAGAGATTCGATAATTTTTAAATTGAGAAGTTCGCAGCGAAAAACTCGAAATAAGCAAATTTAAGTTACCTTCTGTACATATATGAGAACGAAAATTAAAATGTACTCTCAAAATTATTAATATTAATAATTTGTATGCTGCACCACGCATTAAAGTTTAGTCAAAAACGTTTTTTTTTAAAGCGTTATTGTAAACAACCTTAATTTTTATGAGATAATCTTATGGAAATTCTCCTATACAGAATTGTGACTCACTTTATTTTTACTTCCAGGACTCACTATTTACGGCGTGCATGTTTCAACACCCGAAAATTTGCCAAAAAATATAATATGACTCTTTGGGCTGCAAATTTTCTCATCGCAGAGTGCTACATCGAATGAAGTATGCCAAGGAATTCTCAGCGTAACAAGCCGTTAGAAATGTCAACCCTTTTTAAGGAACATGGAAGAAAAAAAATAATAAATGTACCAAATTTCAGCTGTTCCATGTTGTTTAGACAATTTTTTTTTATTAATACGACCTTATTAGGGGAGAAGACAATATGCATAACGCACGATGATCGATCCACTCATTTGTGATTACTTCAGTCGTCACAACCGTGCGACACGAACCAGGTGCTTCGATGCAACTATTACTGATCTCTGGGTGTCCATATTGCATCTGTAAAAGTATGAAGGCGTTTTCCTTGTGCTCAGAGTAGCGCGGGTACGTTGTTTGTCCCTTAAAGTTACTGTACAGATATTGTTGACAAACGACCACATCAGTACTTCTTCGCACACCGATAATGAGTCCAAAAAGACGGAGTTTGGATTTCATGTCCAAAAGAGACGGGACGGCTGTTGGACATCGAGGAGACTTGCGCCGAAGAGCGATCGCAATTTTTGAGGATTTTACGGTTATGATAAAGACGATCGAAAGTAATACCACTAGCTATATGGCCAGAAAAAAAAAGTTGTGCTGATAGCTTGTCACTGTTGCGTGTTGCCCCAAATATACTGAAAAAGCAAATTACTGTTATTGCTTATCACATTGTTTAAGGATGAAAAACTAGCAAATCTCGATAGCATCTTCACTTCGCCCTTGTACATTCTCTTTTTCTTCAGTAACAGGTTCAACATCAAAAAATACACTCTGATGATAATTAATATTTTACTCGGGAACAAGAATCTTGCGTAATTTTCAAAGAATGATTTGTTGGTTCTTTCCTGTTTTTTTTTTTTTTTTTTTTTTTTTTTTTTTTTTTTTTTTTTTTTTTTTTTTTTTTTTTTT